TATATAAACATGGTTATAGAAAATATCGGGTAATGCTATTCCACATGTATGCCTTATTAAGGCAAAACGGCTTGTTGATAAAAAAGGCACTAGAGCTAAACGTACTAGCTACTTTGCTGATCATACGAACAGGGCCGGGCATGACTTGTGTTTTCCAGTTCATGATCTATCTTTGGAATCTTCAACTTCTGGTAAGGATCTCCTTCCTTCAGTAATGGATCTCTTAGGAGAGCAGTTCAAACTCTCCGGGAGAGCTCTAAAGGACAAACAGAAGATACAAGACAAAACGCTAGTCAAACTAAAAATAGTGATCTATGAGTACCCTTCCAGGTTTTCGTGTAAATTACGCTAGAATTTTGATTCACTATATGACCTTCACCTTAAAACAACAGGCAGAAGTCTTAAAAAAATTCGTCCACCAATCTTCGAACAAACCGTTACAGATAGGGTTTCAGCGATTTATCTCAGAGAACTCTGTTAAAGTTGACTTCGGTCCAACGTTTCCATGTTTAAGTTCGGTTTTTTCACTGTCCGTTCCTAGCCAAGTATGGTATCCGTCCACCGCGGTCAAAGGTCCAAGGCGCTTTTCTTTTTCATGTGATTTTGTTTAACACTAGGTGAAAAAAAGCGCATCCAAGAATGTCTAAAAGAATGAGTTGATTTAACTATCCTTGCATTTTTCTCAATACAATGAGCTTCTTTTCGTTGAAAACGCTTCTTGCCGGAGTAAAATTGTGACGTGTTGACCAACTGAAAAGCCAGATCAGTTTTCACACACTTTGATCGTTTCGAGGAAACCCTCAAAAAGTTTAGTAAATTTCCAGCGAATTGAAATTTACAACTTTAGTTTTAAAGTACTTTTCTAAGCTTTTGTAAATTTGTCACGTTTGATCGCGGTTATGGTAACTTTTAGCAAGACCCTGCCACTCTTAGGGGCCTCTATTTGATACGATCGACACCCCTTTATCTGGTTCGCCAACGTCTAGTCTCTAATGACAGCAGACGCTGCCTTCAGCCGCGCCCCGCACGAAGAGGAGTCCTTTTCACTGAACGTCTACAGTGAAACGAGAGCAAAGGCAAGAAATAATTTATAACAAAATGTTAATGTAACCGGGAAAAATAACCGGAACCAATTACGAGCGTCATTTTGTTTTTAGCCAAAGAGCTCACTCAGTGCATTTAAGCGTAATTTAATAGTGGTCAACGCGCCTAGTACAGTAAAACTGAAGTAAAAGAGACCAAAACATTGGTCAACGACAATGTCAGTTACCGCCTTTTAAAAAAATACATGCATCAACATTTGGCAAAACATAAACGATCGTAAGAAAAACGTAAAGTCCAAATACACAACAATGATCTGTTAAAAGGGAAAGGAGAGGAAAGGGAATAAAACAAGGATGTCTTGACAAGAGCAATATTTGACCCAAGAGCTAAATACTTGGTCGATACTGACTCTGATCATTAATAAGTCTGTTCTAAAAATGTTGTACTGACGGTATTAAAGCTAAGGGTGAAATTCACTTTGGAGTACTATTACGGGTCCCAAGGGCAAATCCTGAATCTTGCGCAGGCACCTGTCGCATAATTCGTCTCTAAGTGTCAATTTGGCAAAAAGCTGAGATACTCTTTGCAATCATAGGCAACTCAAGTTGCTTACATAAGCGCCACGCGCTTAATCGTTTATTACAGCTCGTACCGACAAAAAGGTTATCAGAATACTACTGACTACTGCCTTTGTATTTAGTTCCAGGCGATATTTACCTTTGGCTTGGCATCTGATCATTCACGGTAGCTTGGTTGCCTATCACACAAGTGTTCGGCCTTGTCACCTGGTTAAACGTCTGGTGTAAGTGATACTCTGAAACAAGAGTCATAAAACATTTAAAATATATCCCACCACCTTCTAGAAATCATTAATTTCGTAACCGATAAAACTCCTTGTGATAACCCACGCAACTGAAATTTTTTATCATGAAACAATTAGCTTCTTTCATTCACGTGACGGAAATACTTATCCTCACGTTGTGAGAAACTACTATAAATTTTTACCAGCTGATGAAAAAAAAGTACTTGTAGGAAGACTAATGGTGTAGAAAGGCATGCCATCAGGATCTCTCTGAAATTTATCTATATATTTCTCCCTAAAGGTTTTAAAAGTATTTTTTAAATAGTTTAGAGCCTGTTTAAAAGTGTTATTAGTATTATTATTGTTCCAGGAAGCGCATAATCTTCGTATTTGTTACCGCTATTGAAGGAACACGGGACACTTTTTCTAGGTCCCAAATCCGGGCTTAACCTTATTCAGGGAACAGATTATAGCATTTAAAAAGTGACCTACCACAAAAATCGTTGATAAGTCAGTTAAGTGTTCACTAGTCACAACGGGCGGTGAGTACTTTCAAAACATGAATTATCTCACTCAAACCGATGTACTGCACTTTTGGGAACTCAACACACAACATCGCAGAGATAAGTTAATCATGATTTTTTATATATTATCTAGCCGCTTGAAATAACTACTGCAGCAGATTCCGAGGCAGAATAAAAGAAAAATATTTTATTTGTTGGTTAATTATTAACAAACCTTAACCCATAACTCTAAAACGAACGTCTTTTAGTACTAAGTTCAGAGAACAGTGGACACCTCTATTCAGAGGACACTTGTCTTGGTCCCGAGGGTTTCCCCAGAAACAGCTGAAATAGGTTCAACTGTACTCTGAAGTTAGTACTGGACGTTCGACGTTTGTTTGAGAGTTATGAGGAAATCTACAGAACTGAAGAAAAGCACTTTTTCGTTACCGATTCTCCCGCACTGCGCACTGCCGTGTTTCTGTAACTGATCAAAAGAAGTCGAGGGAAATTTGCCACCAACAGAAGTCAGTGAGAGCGCTTCCAAATCTTCAGACATGAGTGAGTTGTCCAAACCTGAGTGAAAGAAATGTTTTCATCACAAGTTAGATGATAAGGCGATGCCATAAACTATTCTCCCCTCTTTCCCTTCCTGTCCTGTCTTCTTCGAGCATTTGTCGAGTGTCGCGTTCCTTCTTATGACTGTTATAATGAACGCACCCACGAGGAAGGCTCTTTTAACATTTTTTCAAGATAGGATACACAATTTTTTTTCCACTATAATCAGGCTTAAGCAAGAGGTTGAAAAAGATTCGGGCGTTACCATTGCCCTCTATCAAGCCCTCTCTTGCCCGTTGTCTTCAAGCATGCATGCTAGGGCCCTTCAGAAGCTTGCAAGAAAGATACAGCTTTCGTAAGGAGTTTATTGGAAACAGAAGAATCCCCGATTGAAAAAGCACCCTGTAATATTAAGTGTCACTCGCCAAACGTGTACTTAGTATTATTTTTGGAAATCATGCGTTGCACTGGCCTTTTAATTAGATTATTCAGTTATGTATACGTAGTAGTGGATAACTGAATTATGGTGCACTGATATTCAGAATTCACTGTAGGCCCCAAGCCAGTAAGACGGATAGACACTGATTACATTGTATAATAGTATCAAAAATTTGTTTAAAAATTGACCGTTGGACGCAGCAAAGCGAAGGATTTATTGAACTTTAATTGGGTGGGATAAACAGACACAAACAATAAACAATGAATCAAACTTACCACCAAACCTTTTTACCTCTGGTAAACAAGCGCCGCCAGCTGAGCAATCGGAAAAGGTCACAAAGTCATTACTGTCCAGCGCAACAGCTTCCGAACCCCATTTGTACACTAGACGGAGTCTTAGGACCTTTTCTTTGGTGAAGTCAATACATCGCATTGAAAGGTAGCACCGAGACACCTCAGACTGCCTCAAGTCCAACATGTCTTCGCTCAGTTCTCGTTTGAAGACCCGTATCAATTCTGATAGCTTCTCCTTTTGTGAAGCATAAAGAACTATTTGAAGATTTCCCGAATGCTTGTTTTCAGCTTCCATTTTCACTACCGCAATGTCAGCTGGAGCGAAGCGACTCATGCATCTGTTAAATTCATCCATGCCGGAACGATTCAACATAATGACTGACTGGAATGCCCCTTTCTTGCAAATTGATCCATCAATGTGCACACATGCAGCCGCACCCAGTTGAAGCTCGTCCTCTGATACTTTCTTGATGCTGAACGTTTGAGAGTATGTGTCGTCATACTCGTCGTGCACCAGGTTCTCAACATCAGACGAGGTACTGGACAATGTGGAGCTTTTCGAGTCAACCAGCTCAAATCTCACCAGTTTTGAAGGATGAAACTTGGCAAAGTCAACGAGACTTAATAAAACGTTGGCAAAATCTTGCATGTAATCTTCATCTACTTCCTTGTCGTCGGTCAACAACGTGTCTCGTAGGCGGTAAGAAAAAAGTCCTAATCTTTTGTGTAACCTTATGTCGTGCAGGCAATGCTTGAAGAACCGCTCTAGAAAGTTGAGCATTTGCTCAATGGCAAGACTTTTGCTCCACTTTGTAATCTCTGCAACGGGCTTCTTGCTGTGATTCTTCATACACAACTTCTCCAGAATTTGGCACTCCACATACACAAGATCCCGGAATCTGTTGTTTTGTCGAGCATTCAAAACGCTTGTCAAAAATTGATCTACGTTTTCCTCATGAAGTCCATTCAAGCCACTATGAGGCACAAGCTTCTTATGGTCAACAAAGATGTGCTTGATGGTTTGCATCAGATGAGGAACAATGGCAAGAAAAATGCTGGTCCTCGATTCATCTGACTGTGAACACACCAGTTTATATTTTGTAGAAATATCTTCCAGCATTGGTTGACGATTCTCGATGAATTGTTTGACGAAAGAATCTGCATTATTGGAAGATGAAAAGGCTTCATCCTGGTTCAACTCCAGGCAACAGTCTCTCAACACAGAATTGCAAAGAATTGTAGCTTTACGTGAAAAATACCTCACTAAATCTGTGTTATGGACTTGTAAGCCGGTTATCTTCGTGGCAAGTTTTCTCAAGCGCCTGATGTGCATCTGGCCTCTTGGTGATACTCTGTATTCTGGTGGGTATGAAAGACATATATCACAGAATAAAATCAGAATTCCATTTCCTCAAGGTCTACTAAGTACTGGGCGCCTTTTTGAAATTTATATCCAAAAAGGAAACAGGAAGGTCTTTTAAGTAACCAGCTTCTTTAAGTAACCCTTTTGTCAAGTTCATTTTGTTCATAATTAATGCCAGTTACGCAACCATATTCGCTATAGAAACTTGAGAAATAAATTGTCAATGACAAAATCACAGCTACTGTCAAACAAATGTCTCCGAGCATTACATTGTTACAAACAACAAAAATAAACTTTGAAAAACTATCAGGCTAACAAGTTTTCAAACCCACAATTTCCATCCATTTCAATTTTTTTCACGTTTGTCCATCCGTTCCTTCTTTTGTATTTGCCGTGTTATTTATACCTTCTTTTCATGTCTTGAGTAGTTATTTTTACGTTTCACTCAGTTCCGTGGCGGTTTCAACTGCCTGAATTTTGATAAATTTCGTGACACTGATCCTATTAAACTAAGTAACAAACTTTAGTATATACTAAAGCAGAGGATAGTGTTTTTCGCGCGTTCTGATTGGCTACTCAATCAGTGAATATCCTGCACTATTCACTGATTCACTTCCAGTTCCTCCGCGAGAGCGACGCCAAACTCGCGTAAGTTGCGAGCAAAATGCCTTCCCGGTTTGCTGCCGTAACAAACTAAGAAATTTCACAACTAATCAATCAAGCTATTCCCAAAATACATGAAGAAGGTGACGAAGTTCGGTTTGGAAGTTTTAACAGATAAAGCTTTGTCTTTTTGACTTGAATTTATCGATAAAACCGGTGAAAAACTTTTTTGTTTACAAATGCAAATTAAGCTTAAGTCTTGCGTTACTTTATTTAGTTGACTTCTTCATAAATAAGCTTAAAACTAAATTTAATAATTTTTTTTACAGAATGATTTTAAATACAAAGAGAATTCACAACTCCTTTTGAAGAAACTTCCCCGCAAGAGCTAAACAAACGCCTTCAAAAGTTTTATTTGTCGCCAAGAAAAAGCGACGACCGCGGCCGTTCGATCATCGCGCGCCAAAATTGTAGACGTTGGCAACAGTAAATGACTTAAAAATCATCATTTTTGTGCTCAATTATCTCACTGTTTTAGTATATACTAAAACAATTATTCACCTCAGTGTCGGTGGCTAGTAGTGGTAATTTACCTCGCCGCTTGGCGGCCTCGCTAAATATATCCACTACTAGCCACCTCCACTTCGGTGAATAATTGTTCTTTAAATCTCTTTAGAAAAACAGCCATTGCGCGGTGAGTCCGCTTGAAACACCACTGACCTTCTTGATTTATGTCCTCCAGAAACTTTCTGAGAGAAGAAAGATTTTCTACTCCACCAGTCTTCTCCGACCAGTGTTGCAAAGTAAGGTTCAACTGCCCGCCGTCGTCCTCCCAAGATTTGGTGACTTGATTCAGTACCTCTTCAGGCATCTCAAGCAGCCTAGCAATGGTTACGACGTTAAAGATGTTCCCCTCCATGCCCAGTAACTTCCTTACATAATTACACAGATCTGTGAAAAAATAACAAACCACTTGTTAAGCCAGAGTGAGTTCATTACGGGGACATCTCAGACCGAGGCCTTGTTATATTGACCAAGCAATAGCGAGGTCAATACGTACATCAAGGGCAAGTGATGACCCTGTAATGGCCGAACGGACGAGGTTAATAAGTTATTTATTAAATGGCTTTTTTAGTGCTATTGGTATAATACACCAGAAGTAATTGAGCCTGCGATCAACTACCTTCAAACCGGAAAACCGTGAACACCAGAAATATTTCTGGAATGTTATTGTTTTGCACGAATTTAGCCAATCAGACGTGAGGAAACTAAACTCGCGTGTCCTGATCTTTGCTGTGATTGGTCGTAACACAATAAAAATTCCTGAAATATTTCAAGTGTTCACGGTTTTCCTGGTCGCACTGTAAAACCAATAACTGGTCAGCGGATGACTTTAAAAAACACGTCATCTGAATGAGTTGCACACTTGAGCCTGCGATACAGTCATGTTTCGTTCCCGAAGATCGCATATGTTTTAAAGGTGAACTATCGAAACCAAGTTGAGGAGTATCTTTAAGCTCCACCGCCATCTATTGTATTATACTGTTATACTACAGCAACTAACAAATTTACCTCCTTCACTAAAATGCTTCTTGTTCGCATGCCCATTTTCTCCATTCACGCTGATTGTCCCACAGAGATATCTCACTTCGTTTCTCCATTCCAGAGGAAGTTTGATTACCTTTCCTCCATTCCACCAAACAAAGGAATCTACACCGAAACTAAAACTTCTGTGCTGGCTATCAGAGAGTCTGTAGTCTTCCCCGAGTTGAATACTAACTTGAAGGTTTTCATGATTGTAAATTCGCTTTTTATCCAGTCTGTCAGTGGCACGTTCATGTACCTCTATAAAACCCTCTTTCTTAAGCTGTACCAAAGCTGAAGTCGCGTCATCTCTGAAGAATTGTTCGTGGTAAACGTCTTGGCTCACGAAAAGTAGAGCAAGCATGTCGTGTGCAGAAGAGGGACTCGTCTTGTTCAACAGCACCAGTAACGTGTAATCAAACGACAGTAAATCAAATCTGGACAGAATGTCTTTACTACGGATCAAGGTCCAACGTAACAGAACCATAATGAGTGAGAAATGTTTCAGTTCAACCTCGACTTCTGCGGCTGCCTCATTAATCTTTGAGCTCTTAGTGATGTCTTGCCAGGTGACCTTTCCATCTCTAGATTCAGTGCCATGCAAAATGAAAACATCATCTCCGTTCCATTTCCATTTCATGTGTTTAAAACTAGTTGTCAGCTTCATAGGTTTCCTGAAAGAATGGCCATTCGGTTGTAGATTAACGATGGGTGCAGCTATAACAACGTCATTTTCCAGATCCTTTTGAACTATCAAACTGTAGTACTTAGACGGATCCTCTAATGTTATGGTTACAGATAAGGAATCGTCAAGAGCTCCAGGGGGGCACACTAGCCTGATATTTCCTCCAGCCATTACACCACCTTCACTGGTAAAAATGCCCTCAATGCTGTCTTCCTTGATGACGCCTTACCGAGAAGGTTAAAAAAAGACATAAATCAATTTAACGACATGTTATGTCTGCTAATAAAATAAATTCATTAAAGTGCTACTACGACGAAAATTTTTGTTTTTTTTTCCGAGTTTTTTTAACATAAATCTTGTGTATATGTTCAAAATTATACAAATAGCGAAAAATTGGAACGATACTTGCGTACGGGGGCTGGAAATTTCCCACTGAAAAGTGCGTAAATACCGTCCGCCATTACAAAGTTCGCAAAGCAATAGCCCGCGAGATCTCCGCAAAGCGGTCGTGCGTTTGACCACGTGATTTATGCACTGTGACGTAGAAACATCAACCAAAAGATTCGCATTTGGGAAAAGTTTGTGAGTTTAGAGCCTTTTAACAAGACGTTTAAGATGTCATCTCCGTCGAATTCCTCTTCCTGCACATCTGAAAGTGATCTAGAATGTTTTACAGTTGACGAAGTGATGGGGGAATTGTCTGAATTTGCGCCGTACGACGACAGTTGCGAACCCCTTGCTACCGAGGAAGAAGCCGCGGACTACAACGAAAGAGTTCATCGCGAAGAAGAAGAGGAACAACCGTTTCAACGAAGATATTCGGGAGAGGTGCCAGCGAATGAATGGTATGGTATTATCATGGAATGTAGATTTATATTTTTATTTTCCAATTTTAACATACACGTTAAATTCCCCGCGTGACGAACGCGACTGAGTGTTTTGTTTAAGTTTACAATTTCGTTGCTATGTGATTAGCTGTAGTCTTGATTTTATGCGATAGTTTTATTGAAGAGGTCAGACAATTAATAATTTTATACAGACGTATTTTTCTTGTGTTTGACGAATTTTTCACATTATTTTGCAGGTGTTCGTGCTCGAACTGCTCTGTCAGCCTTGTTACAAAAGCGCAGGAGTGCATTTGCTGCAAAGAGATCGGTCGCTGCGAATAGGTCATGGAAGAAGCCATTGGAGACCGGACCGTATGCATAACCCTCCATCCAGGGTTTGAAAGCGTCTGCTTAAACCGCCACGTATTAGAAGTGGCTGCACTGGGCCTAAAAAAGCGAGCTGGAAAGTCGTACACAACTGTTCGTGGGCAAAGCAACAAAAGTGATAATGAGTAAGTTGGGGTATTGTTGACTTTGTATCGGAACGATCGAACCTTACATAGCATTGAATAATTGATACATCTAAGCTTATCGCCGTGGACTGATCTCATAGAATCACATTTTTTATTTTCTAAATGGCTTTATTGCCCCAACTGCTTATTTTTAAAAGGAGTATTTATTTATCTCCATCCAATCCCTCCTTGAATTAACAGTGATCTCATTTCTCTAACTAGATTCCTGAGGTCTGTGGCCTATCGCCAATTTACAAGACTGCTGTGGAGTTATATTGGTAGTTCCAGGCGATATCCCTTGCCCTGTTGTGCCTACAATATAATCAGGAAACAATTTCCGAGTCAAAATGGCCATTATCGTGGCTTCGAAGATGAAGAAAATTAATAATAAATGCACTGTTTGTTCTTGAAGAGTGTCATGTATGCCATTGGGGCCAAGAAGGACCTACAGTAGTTGCTTAAGTAAGCACTTAATTTTATGAGCCAAACTTCAGAATTCTCAGCCACTTACTCGCTTTTTGTTGAATGACAAACTTGCCCACTGTGTGAAGCCCTGTTCTTCTAGCTTTCAGTTAAACTCAAGTTTAGTGGCTGGGAATTCTGATGTTGCTCCAATTTTCATGTACACAAGTAATAAAAATTAAATCGAATTCAGCCTGAATTTAATTACAGTTTTAATGTATCATTTCTTTCTTTTCACTCGGCTCACAGAGCACTGCAAAATTTAATAGCAGGTTACCTGCTGGAAACTTTCCTAGCAGGTCTGGTTGACTCTTCCAGACTTTTGTCTGGCTACAGTTTCTGTAGAAACTTTCTACGGTTAACAAGGTACCTGTCTGTGATACAGAAAGTTTGGGTTTTGAAAAGAAGCACAAGTGGCAGAACTGAAACAAAGGAAGAAGTTTGGAAAGGAAAACAATTCCCTTCGGTTCCTCTCGAATGTTTTTTCCTTGTAGATCCAACCTGTAAAAAATGATTGAAAGGAAATACTCATTTAATCATAGCATCTGAAATCATAAAATAACAAAAAAAAAAAAGATTATCATTTTCATTGTTTTTCTCAGGGTGTTGCCAGTTTTTCAACTTGTTGTAAACCTGGCTAATTGTGGGTTGGGATTTTATTCTCACATACATCCTGAAAAATCCTTTTTTATAATAATTCTGTTGATTGGACACATGACAACGTTGAGCCCTTAACCTATCTAGCCCACCCCAACGATGCATAATTTATTACAAGTGGTTGAGTGGACAAACCAAACAATTTTAGGCCAGGGACTTCCAGTCTATGGGCTGGCTATGCCTCTTCTTCTTTTTTTTTTTTGTGCAATTCTTATCTGAGTAAATTAAAAAACAAATTTCATGTACTCTTGTTTCTGAATAGATCCTCTCATAATGGAAGTTAGTTTTAGGCCTAAATCACTTCCCAGAGGATACTTAGAGCTAAGATGTTAAAATGTGATAAATTTTGCATCTTTGTACCTTGGGTTCTGATGAGTCTTCACTGAGTCATCATCTTCCTTTAGTTTTTTATATGCATCTTCGACTTCTTCAGGACTCCATGTAGGGTCTTCATCACACTCAAACTCCTCATATGCGTCATCCTACATTTCCTGCTCATCTTCTGATTCATCCTCTAGCCCTAACTCTGTCTCATTTGTTACTGGCCATGGTTCAGTTTGAATAGCTTAAACAAATGGAATTAAAAAAATTCTATCACCATTAAAATTTTAATTATTATTAAATAATCAAATATTGATAAAATGTAATAAAAATATAAAGATAGGCAGTTATGCCTATATGACTCATCAACATCAATTATTGTTGACTCACCAGCATTCACCATCAGCAACTGCTTCGGCTCTTGTATGCTCTTAAAGGTTTCAACCCACTGATCTTGACTGGAGATTAACTTACTCTTCAGTCTTGTGACTTTGCCCCTTAACTGAGTCACCTCACTCCTCAGGGTTTTGCATGTTGTGCAATTCTCAGCATATCCAGTTGGAGTATCCTACAAAAAACAAACTTTCAACATTGATACAGGCTGTAATAACAAGACTTAAGAATTTTTGTGTTTTAGTATTGTTGTAAAATAACTGCACATGTAGTTTTCCGTTGTTATGATAATACAAAGATGCAAATAAACATTAATTAGAGTTATGCGCCTACCATAGAAACCTGTTCAAGTTCAGGAATCGTTAATGATTCATCAATCTGCATAACTTCATCCATATCCTGCACTTTTTCGATTCCTTGAGCCTCCAGGACCTGCATGGTCTCAGTAACCTCATCAGTGCCTGAAATCCCTTGGCTCTCGAGAGCTGTCTTATCACCAGGAGTACCTAGGACCTCTGAAGCCATCTCAGCATCAACACTTATCTCACCCGTCTCAGTCTCAGGGATGCAGCCCTCCTTTTCAGGATTTACCTCAAGCAAAGAACCCTGACTTGTATTCAGAACACCCTCGACTTCTGGAGACTCCTTAGCGTTGAGATTGGGAGCCCCCATAGTGTCAGCACTCTCCTCAGGTGCAGAACTTCCTTTCAAAGAGATCACCTCTTCTTCAGGATTGTCTTCTTCCTCTGTATCCTCATTAGTAGTTTGACCAGCCAGAATTTCATTTAGTACCTAAAAATGAAAATAGGGACGACCATTTTTTATATCTCCCCTTCAAAACAAGTTTAAATTTGAGCTTTATGTTGATGTTTTCAAAACTAGAAATGGAAGCAAGGTTTAACCACATCTTTGCCTTAAAATGTATGCATCATTTGCAGACAGTGAAAATAGAATTAAAATACAAACGAAAAAAAACCCGCAAACAGTAACTGAACTTATAGAATGTAGAAATCAGACTAAGTCCATTTTTGGTCGTTTTAAAAGACTCGCGTGTAACTCTTAATTTGCTGTAAGATTTCTTGGAGGGAAGTTTGGAGTACTGTCAAATCTCAAAGTAACAGCAAGATAATCTCTCAAAAAATAGAGAGCCGGATTTCTATGTAGCTTCACTTTTTCTAAATTTTACGCTTGAGTGGAAAGGTCTGGGAATTGGGGAATTGACTTCACGTCCACTCAGCGCAAATGCCCGTTTTACTATAACTATGAGAAGAAAGCAGAAAACTATGAAAACACATGCAGCAATATGGGAAGTTCAAATAGTCAGAGCATTCATTACACGAATATTGAACAACGATGCCAGAAAAAAATCATGTCACAGGTAAATGGGGAAATAAATATAATGGTGATAAGCACAGCGCAAATACATTGTAATTTCACTCACCGATCGTCTACTCCGCTTTGATAGTGTTTGAGAGGATTTTTTCCAAATGGTTGGAAACGTCCCCTTCTTCAAATTCCTTTTCATGCCTTTCATCGGAAAAGCAAGCGTAAAACAATCCCTTGTAAAATACTCCGAGCACACAGCAAATTTTCCCACTGTGTTGAAATCCTTCCGATGAATGGACACCACTTTAATCTAACGCTGCCCGAATCAGGAGAATTATGAATAGAAATCCCCAATTCATCGTTCTTTACGTTTCCACAGTCCTGAACAACACAACGTCTACCAGGCATACTTTCGCTTTAAGTCAAAAAAGCGAAGAAAGAACCTCCAAAAGCTTCCAAAAATATCTCGTCCTGCATGCAAAATTAGCCACGTTTGTTTACCTTGTTTTGTCGCGTTGATGTTTCTACGTCACATCTCGCCCCAACTCCTTCAAATCTACTCCCGGTCATTTTTTGAATCGAGTAATGGCGGCAAGACATTTACGAAAATTGCCGTGCAAATAAACACACTTCCAGATCATATTTGGACTCCAAACTTGGCACGGTAAGTCACTTTTACATACATTTTCGAAATACGTAATAAAAAGCAAATTCCCAAATTTGATCGTAGTAGCACAAACAGGGGCAAATCAGGAGTGAAAAGTATGCTGATTATATAATTACGTCACATAACCCGCGCATATGCTGTATCCACAGTTCAGTCTATACTTTGTTGTCGTATAGACATTTGTCAGACAGATTTGTTGATAGATATCCGAAAATTCTTTCCTAACTAGGTGCTCTACTAGATATCATGATTTTCAAAAATAGTGCGACTTTTTAAATTTTAACAAACATGTTTCGACGGTACATCCGTCATCGTCAGTGTGACGGTTATGAACGTTCACAGCTGATAAAACGTGCGTGTTACTATGTACAGTATACGTTACATTGCGTTGGAAAACAATACCTGCATAAATTTAAAGTTAACAAAATTAATAGATGCGCGTGAACGCATGTTTAGAGAAACTGTCAGATTGATGATGTACCGTCGAACATGTTTGTTAAAGTTTTAAAACTCGCACTAGTTTTGAAAAGTTCCACGATTTTGCTGCTGTCTCGACCAAATCATGATTTAATTAAGTCAAAACATGTGACATGCTTTTCGTTTATAAAACATGTGGCGATAAATCACATATGTAAGAGTATCAAATCAAAAACGCAAGCACTACAAGTAGTATAGGGCTCACCCAATTAACCCTTCGACGAATGCTTTGGTCGTTTTCATTCCATATGGAACGATACATATTTTCCTTCCTGGACCCATCTAGCTTTCAGTTTGAGTTAATAAATTGGTGAGCAACAGCGTCAGCAAAGATAGATCTTTCCAGCGATACCTCGTTTTGGATATTCCGACCAATCCTAACAGAGGTATACTGAGGGTCTGGATGGGGGGGTACAAATGTCAGTTGCCAGTTTTTTAGGCAATTTGTCAGTTGTTAGTTAAATGATTATTAATGATTACCTATGAAACTTATTTGTATATTTTTGATGCAAAATTTAGCTTAAAAGGCACATATAATGTCAATTAAACATCAGTTTCGAAACCTGATGCTATTAATAGTACCTTAATTTTTATTAGTTTTGCTATTGAAAACACTTCAAGTGGCCATATGTTACTGAAAGCGTCACTTTCTGGGAGAACAGACTTAAGCCGATGACGTTATACCCTTTTGTCTTTATCTTATCAATTTTTCTTTTGCTGTGTCCGAGTATTACTGGTTTGACAGGTTTTTAATATTTTAATTGGTGATATAACCTGCACCCTGGGTACCAGAAGCTTTTTCTCGCGTGCGGCGGGGTAGTTCGATGTCGGCCACAGGACCTTTATTTGCCGCTAGAAAAAAACCTCTGGCACAGAGCAATTCCATAAACTGTTCCCGTTGAAATTTGATCTTTTTTATGGGATCACATTTTAACCAATCAGATTGAACGTCTCTAACTGTGATTACATGGGCTGGCGCCTAAAGTTAAAATCGTTCTCTTTCGATTTACATTAACGAGCACAAACAGTCATAACAGAATTTTAACTAAGCTTATTTATTTATTTATTAGTTTAAAATCAAATATAAAGTTTCATGAGGCAATTTTTATTTTTCATCGTAATCTCATCCGCCAAATTAAAGAGAAATTAATACTCTCCATTGAAGTGACTTGATACAAACAATAGCCTAATAATTTTTGACTAATTCTGAGAAACCTCGATGTGGAATGTTATTTCAGCTGAAAGAAATCATTATAGAAATTTTGGGAGAGATGATCGATGTATACTATCCCGCCCGAATAATAGGCCTTAAGCTTGTAGGTTTTGTTTTCCCATTGCAGACCATGTGATGTCGCCCCTGAGAACTGCTTCTTTTAAATGCCGTCTTATATACGTGCATCCACGCGTATATGTATGCATATTGCATAACTAATGAAAAGACAAAAGGTAAATTCCCTAGAGAACATCACGTGCTCCGAATTGGGAAAACAAAACATACAAGCTAAAAAGGTCTATTCGCGCACAAGGTCCAGGAATAATTGATGTATCCCTGCATCAACAGCGATTTTCCACAAACAGTTCGCAATATCAGCAAAGCGCCCTTGCGTCCATTAAATTAAACATACTTATATTCATTTGCCTCGCGATTAACTGCTCGGCACCATCGAACGTTTCTAGTACATTTCTTTGGTACTGTGTCAAACCTTTCAGCATCGCAAGAAAGCTCAACAACAGGAGAGTAAAACGTCACCTTCAAAAGTACTGGAGTAGTAATCAAAAAAAGATTGACTTGATTAAGAGATACATGTAACAATATACCTGATGATGGCAAAACTTCTAAATCCACTGCATCGCTCTTTTCTGCATTAACATGATTGGACACAAGGCAAAAATAGTTCCCACTGTCATACATTGTCACAGTATCCAAGATAAGTTCTCCATTAATCCCATCTAAGAGTTCTGCTCCATCTTTTACCCACTGATATCGTGGAGCTGGGTAGCCTGTGGCCTCGCATCTCAAGGTAACACTGCCACCCACTCTGACTGGCTGCGACTTGGGTTGTTTGATGATTTGCACCTCTTCTGTATAATGAATACAAGAGTATAGTTAACAGAGAAAACAAAAAGGAAACTATGTACAGGGGCGGATCTAGGGGGAGGGTGCAGGGGGTGCGCACCCCCCCCCCCCGAGATGACCTGCGGTTTTCTAATACAACTGGTATTCTGCAAAAAAAAAACTACGTGGTTTATGGGTATTGAAGTAGAGCAAGAGACGAGTGCACCCCCTCCTAAAAAAAATCCTGGAACCGCCCCTGATGTAGAGGTTAAATAATGAGAATTTATCTTCAAACTAACTGTATGGAGAGAGGAAACATTTGGAGCTGTTTTTAGTCTTAGAAAAAAAATAATGTGGCTGGGGCGTCTAAAGCACCATTATTGTTTGTTGACTAGACTAATTAATGTCAACTTACCTTTGTATTCCAAAATGTCTAAGGCTTGATAATTCCCAATTTTTTTCAGCCACACGACAAGCTGTCGAACAGTCTTAGTACTTTGGCCTAATTCAGTTAACAGAGCCACTGAAGGACTTCCAACCGTTCTTGCTCTTTGCATTTCAAATAACGAAACCTAAACGTAGACAACAGTGAAATTAAAGGTTTTTGTAATGCAAGTGCAGCCTAAGAAAACAGCCTACATTTCGCGACGCCACCACTAGTTTTCCCGCCAAATGACGTCTGAGAAACAAGCGCAGAAATTCCATTGATGACGTGTCACTACCCAGATCTGGGTAGGGCTTCTTATTGGTCGTGCCGCGTGGGAAATTTGCTTCAGCTAATCGGAAGCACCACTCAGATCTGGGTAGCGACGCGTCGTCAGTGTGGAATTTCTGCGTTCGTTTCTCAGACGTCATTTCGAGGGGAACCAGTGGTGGCGTCGCGAAATGTTGGCTGTTTTCTCAGGCTAATGCAAGTGTGACTATCGATATTTCTTTTAATACAGGCGGATTACATGCAGGTTCCTATCATAAAATAATCATAACCGTTTCTTAACACAGGGCCAGAATATCTAACCTCTCTCTTCAAAGATTTTTTCTTGGTTCGTTTGGGCCCGGTAAGAAAACATAAGTTTGCAGCGAACACAAATATCGACCCGATTTTCAGTTAGGTCTTCCTCTGAGACAGAAAGATCGATCCTAGGTTTTGAGCAAGTATTCGTTTCCTAACCTACTAATGTGGTCATATTTTTTTCATAATGATTTTTTTGGCTGAAAATACGACTTAAAGCTCGATGGAAATTTTATTATTATTATTATTAATATTATTATTTTAGGTGTGTTTGCGGGACATTATTTTTATCAAATCTCCCAGCCCCTTCCTCAAAAGGCAAAGGGAAAGCTACTAATATTAAATATACAGGGTGTTTCAAAAGTTCGTTCCGATTTTTTCTTCGCTCAAATTTCACCGATTATTGAAAATACCTTTAGTAAAATTTAGTATGTTATTCATTATTCATTTAACATTGAATAACCGAAATATCGCTTACCAGAATGTCTTTCTTTATGTTTTCTGACATTTTCTAAGTGATGAGGTAAAGAATGTACGAGCTCCCAAAGTGTGTCTAAAGACACACTTTTTCAGGCGAAGCGTATTCACTGCCTTACCTCGTCTAGTGATTTGGGGGCTGGTTCTTGTTATGTTTTCTGGTCAACGATAATCCAGATGGTCTCCAGAGGGTTCACATCACGTGAGTTTACCAGCCGGTCGCCCTTTGCTATAAAGTTTCCAAATCCTTCTGACACCATGTCTGCATGCGCGCCGCCTTTTTCTCTTCAAGGTTTTCCAACCTTTGCTGATCATATATTTTCATACCGTTGTGCTCGAAACTTTGATATTGTGAAGTTGAAGTTTTTTTTTACCTTTCTGTTTTGTAGACTTATTACGCATATACTTACAGCTTTTTCGATAACATTTCTCACATATTTAAAAAAAGACGGCCATACACTCCTTGGTTTGTCTTCTAAAGTCTTTACTTTCGACCAGTTGTTCACTTATATCATTCAGACTTCAGTCAACAGTTTAACAATTTCTTTGACTGAATGGCCAGAGAACCAAAAAAATAGAGTGCCTCAGCCTTAGCGCAAACAGTGTAGGCCTTCATTTGCGTACAGAGTGGAGAAAATTAAAGAAAACAGCAAAAAACGACAATAGAAAACCTACAAAATGGGCAGGGAAAATATGGCGGGAAAAAACTCGCGTACGTGCACATTTGGGGCATAACTTCAAAAATATTATAATTTCTTCAAATTTTAGTTTGAAATTGCTTTGAACGGTTATTTAGATAAATTTCTTACCTGAATCAGTTTACATTTGCCTAAAGAAGCATTAAATACCTTGTGCAAAATACAATTTACAATCGGAACGAACTTTTGAAACACCCTGTAGATGTGTGGATTTCTTTGCCATGACTTACGTTGATTGGTTTTATTTTTATAAGAAGATAAACGAGATCTTCGCTTTCAGGCTGGCTAAATCTATATATTAGGATTTCATCCACAGACTCAAAAGCTACAACCTCTTACACACCACATTTAATACGAGGAAAGTAGTTCTGCTCAGTAGCTCTAATTTCAGCTGAATGACCACAAAAGTTTTTTTTTAGAATTTCAGTCAGGAACACAGTGCACGGCATAAATCAACCGCACCAACAGGGGAGAGTAATGCTTAGAAACCTATCTAAGGTCTATAGAGGAGAAATCTAAACGCTGTTCTATTACCTGTTCTTGTGAAATCATTCCAATTGGCATCACACTGATAAGGGCCCTCCAGTCACGGGGACCATCAATGTCGAGCTGGTCAGATAACTTCTTTATAATGCCATAAGGCAACTTTCGTATTTGCATATCCATGTATCCTGTCTTTAATAAATTCAAATACATGTATTATTGTAAGGATAAAGTGTTTAAATTAAAACATATTGTTATTCATGAAAAATATTTCGCTTATTCGGATTGGTTCAAAGCCCCTGACTAATTCAACATAATCAACTGGCGTTTACCATATTTAGGAGATGGAACAATATCGTAAAATTCCGAAAATAAGCCCCTCCATGTATAAGCCGTTCCAAATATAAGCCCCCAAACTCGTAACGCAAAAAACCCTCCGGTAAATTGCCCCTCCAAATATAAGCCCCCGGGGATTTGTCACTTAAAAACTGCCCTCAAATTCAAAATAAAACAGAGCAAGAACTGTACAGTAACACATACATTTTTACATCTGCCAAAGAACTGTTACGTGTGCTGTGTAAAATGATTGCAGTCAAAAAGTGTCACAGTATATTGTTGTTTGCGTAGTTCACTCTCTCCTGGGACTTATTTTCGGAATTTTACGGTATACCATCGATTCGATGGTATGTTGCCGAGGCAATGTACAGCATACTTTCGATTCGAAAAACCAGTTTTAACTGTAACAGAATTAAAATTCTGCGACATAAATAAGAGAGAAAAGTTACATACATAAGCAACCCGTTCTTTCCTGCGCCCATACCAGCACATACTTACAAGCACCTGCTACGCAGGCTACTTTGATGCTAGCAATTTAATCTCTTTATGAAACGCTTAATTATTAAAGAAATTACAGTTTTTTAGGGGGTTTTTAACTGCACAGCAATAAGGACCTCACAAGCACAGGATAGCAACTGACAACTCATCCAATTATAACACCTTGTTCATATGTTTACTTGGTTTCTGAACATTCACCCTGCGAGCAGAGCCTCCTTTTGTCTTCTAGGCTGAAAAGGAGAAAAGGAGGCTCTGCCAGAATCTCATCAAACCTTTGAAGTCACCGAAGCCCGAACTTGTGGACTAGTCAATCTTGTTCTCTCTCGTCAAACTGGTTTATTCGAGTATGCGCATGGTCATCACCAAGCCCGCTGTAGCAAGCGAAGGGTTATTAGGCCTATTCCTAGCAACAACCCGCGCAGGCTCAACAAAGACCTTACTCGATTTATTCATAGCCTTTTTCAAGTTCGCCTAAATGAAAGAAAGGGTCGGCTGGCAGGGTGCTGAACATTGCTTGTTATTACAAATTAGGTATGTTATTTTTTTCCATACTAACGTCGTGTACTACTGTCACATCGATCTCCTTATAATAAATCCATCTTGTTTAGTTTGTCTGATTTGACTGAAATAATCAGGACGTGAAAATGAAATTTAACCCCGGAGCATTCACGTTTGCCGTACACCTTGAACTGATCATTTAGCTGAAAACGTCAGAGAAAAGTATCAACATAAACAACAAAGAAATGTGTGAAGCAGATCCATATTAGTAACCTTGTTATTGTAAACAAGGTATAGTTTTATCGTTTGTCTCACGATTGTCACTTTGATATTGATCACGACGTTTCGACCGCACACTGCAGGTCTTCAGCAGGCGATAACGTCGATTTACTGAGTTGAACTATTTGTACCACCGTGGTTGTTAGTTATTGGTGTATCACAAACCTCGCACATGGGTTTCGATCCAAAGCACTGTTAGCATTGTGTGAGGAACAAACTGATCCCTCAGCGGTCTGCTCCGGTGGAGATCGGTTGTCTTGTTGCCTGATTGTAGGCATCCACGCCTCAGGAATCCCAATTCCACTGTCCCTGTTGATGTTGTTAGGGTGAAGTCTTACGTGGATACCCTTCTTAACTCTTCGAGAGTACCAGTAAGGGTCTCGGTCAATAAACTTAACTTCGTCCCAGAGCGGATAACCCTGGTCTTATTGGCGTGTTCAGACACGGCCGAAGTTTGAGTTCGTGAAAGCCGTATATCCCTGTTGTGCTCCTTAATCTGTTCATACATTCAACTTCCTGTTTCGCCAATGTATGCTTTGCCGCATTCACAAGGAATCTTATACACTACTCCATCTTGTTTTCGTGGATCCACAGGATCCTTAGGTCGCACTAAGTGCGATCTTAGTGTTGTATCTAACAACATCAACAGGGACAGTGGAATTGAGATTCCTAAAGCCTGGATGCCTACAATCAGACAACATGACAACCGACCTCCACCGCAGCGGACCGCTGGGGATCAGTTTCTTCCTCACACAATGCCAACAGTGCTTTGGATCGAAACCCACCAACCATGAACGAGGTTTGTGATACACCAATCACTTACGACCACAGTGGTACAAATAGTTCGCCTGCTGAAGACCTGCATTGTGCGGTCGAAACGTCGCGATCAATATCAAAGTGTCAATCGTGAGACTAACGATAAAACTATACCCTGTATACACATTATCGACGATGATTAATATCTTTGATCACAACCTTGTTATTTTTCTCCTCTGAACCATACCTTAGATTCTTCAATGTTTCTACAGGATTTTCTCTCCGAGTGACTGACCCGATTTGATGGTTTTTCAGGGTGCTCTCCAATGAACGTGTCGTCTGACATTTTACTTCGTGCTCCTCTGGTATGTGTTCCTGTTGCAACATTTTTAGCATCTTTCAAGAGGAAGAAAATGTCAGCAAACAAACAAATAAAAAATAATGACACAATATCAACGCCTTGGTCGTTGCTGCTTGCCTACTTCCCTTTCAAAAGCATCCACATGTGGGAAACCCTGGTTGTTTACTATTTATATTTACACGGGCTAACTGGTTGGTTCATGGTTTGGGCAAGGAGCAAAACTGGGCTATTGCATCAAATATCCGTACCCCCCGGCTGAAGACTTACCTTTTCTTCTTACCCCTGAAGATTGGCTAAAATTGCATTCACCCCTGAAGACTTCCATAAAATATGGGCTTACCTTTGAAGAATATGGGTTTACCCTAAAGATTTTCGTGAAAATTACACCTCCAAAGAATTCCATTTTTTTTATACTCTACCCTTAAAGAAATCCTCAATTCTTATAACTTACCCCTAGAGAATTCTATGGTTCCTCAACCGAAGGGGGGGGGGGGGGGCTGATATTAAATGCAATAGCCCATTCAGGACTGGTACGAAAATTTCGTCCCGGAATCGCATCGCGCTTACTATTTGTAGTATTTGTAAGTCAGTTCCATTCACCACAATAAGGGCGCGAAAACCTGGGACGTACTGGTATCAAAGATGGCTTTGAAGAAGTAGAACACGAATCTTCGTTAGGAACATTCCGTCAGGAAAAACAGGACTGCCTTTTCAGACGTTCTCTTGCTCCTGGAAATTTTCCACTGAAACGACCCAAAAAGTCGTGTTCCATTTACTGTCAAACCGAATTTTCCAGAAACTTTTTGTAAATGGTTAACAACCCCTGGGCATCAATCAACCAACCATTTAGCCCAAAATTCCGGCAATTTTGATCAGAAATCAAATGGATCGAACAGAACCATTCCGGTTTTGACTGGTCCTACCGGTTGGACGGATATGTTGTCGAAATTGTTGTTCACTATTAAGGAAATTGGTGAAGATCTGTATGAATCCGGCCTCTATTTGGATTTTTTTAGAAAATCTAATTATTTATACCCGTTTACATCATCGCAGTAAGAACTACCAGGATGAAATGGTCCAATGAAAATACAAAGAATAGAGGTCCAGATTAACCCCTATCACTGAATGAATATTTTATTTCATATGTTCAGGTGAGATCAAACCTGTACATCATGAAAACTTTCGATCTCTTATCAAATGTTTCCCTTTATAATAGACGTCAAGTTTTAATGATTATTCTACCAGTCATTTTCAAACTTTATCCTCGCACCTTGTTTTTTCCCCTTTTGTTGCTCAGCTTTCAGCTTTACTTCTTTCCTGTTCACTGTTAAGTATCTTCGTCAACCTGGACTCCATATTTCCTAGAGTGACTGCTGAAATGTCTGCTAGCAGGTTAAGATCAGTGATCCAGAAATGCTTGAGATCTTTGCACTTAAGTGCATCTCGAAGAAACCCCACAAACCCAGTAAACCTCTCTGCAAGTTGCTCTCTATTCCACTCAGTGGTTGTTTGGTTGTACCACAGTAGTGCAGTTTTCACATGAAAAGAAAAGGTTGGTTCCCGTCTGAGAACTGTGTTGGTTATCTTGAACAGGTCAAGACGGCATCCTTTATCCTTATCCATGTCTTTTAGAAGAGACTTCTGCATCAGTGTGTATGACTTGACCCATGCTGTTTCGCAATCAGTTCCCGCTGAAAGTAAAATACAAGAACTAGCTTCTTTTATGGAATTCCTTCATCAGTAGTCATGAGCATGTCATGACTACTGATGACAGTGTGCATCGAGGATGTTGAAACCTTTATGATAATTTTATGATTTTAGGAGTTACAAATAAAAATCGTAAAATTCCGAAAATAAGCCCGTCCATGTATAAGCCCCTCCAAATATAAGCCCCCCAAACTCATAACGCAAAAAACCCTCCGTTTAATCGTCCCTCCAAATATAAGCCCCCAGGGGGCTTGTACTTGGAAAATTACCCTCAAATACAAAGTAAAACAAAGCAAAGACGGTAAATTTACTTCCAACTATAAGGCTAGCCCAATCGATTTTGAGACGCAAATTTCCCTCCGTAAATAAGCTCCTCAAAAAGAGCCTTTGAAAAATATAAGCCTCAGGGTTTATTTCCGGAATTTTACGGTATGCCAAGAAGCATTTAATTCATGACATTGTGGTAATAATATTGTATGAACTTAAACTGTGACATTTGTGTTCTATGTGCAACTGCCAACTTTCCTGTGGCAGGCTCTCAAATAGTAGGGACATTGTGAAAATAAGACAGCCCATGTCCTGGGAAGGGGGTGGCCCCCAGCCCCCATACGATTTTCGCGTCACTCTTTACTTCACTGGACTACTATCTTGGAGCCTAGAACAGCCTCTATACTACCAATCAACAACATCGTTACAGAAAAAAAGTCATGACTATGCTCACAGCTGTGAGCCTTGATTCATCTTTCAGTACCTGGGAGATTGCCTTGTTGTGATTGTGGAACAAAGTATTCATCGCTACTGAGTGGAAATGTCGGTACAAGCTTTACTTCCAGTGTCTTGTCTTGGATTGACTGATGATGACTTTAACACCAGTGCTACAACTAGAAGCCTTCAAAGACATGGATGCAGCTTCTTTAGAGTTCAATTCTTGAACAGCAGAATTGACCAGTTTAAATAGCCATGACTTGAATTTCTTTGGCATCAAGAGGCCATCTTCACGTGAATACTCTTTGTATGGGGAACCTTCCACTGCTTTGATGGATGCATAACCAGGGTTCTCCACATTAATAGTGACAAACCCTTTCTTTGCCTTCAAGACGACATGAATTACAACATCGTCCTCATTCGGACGAGCGGTTTTCAGATTCTCATACAAACTTCCTCCATAATCAAACTTGCTTATTATCATAGGAGAGTTATCCTGGCAGTATTTGAGTACCCCATTTTTCATATACTCTTCAATCACTTCTTTTGACCACTTGATTTCATCACTTAGAATGGCTTCCAGTTTGTTGAGGAATTTTCGCAGAAGCTGCAATAGATCAGTAGAAGTTTGACATGTGTTTGGCAGAATTTGTTTTTGCTGTCCAGATGTGATTGCAGGACAGTTTTCTCTTGCCTTTCTTCCGTCACTGTCTAGCTGCACTGAAAGCAAATGGAAATTCACACTTTGATTAATTACATGCACATACTGATAAGCCTTAAATCTGGCTTCAGATTAGGTAATGCTTGTGCTGTTGAAAGGGTATGTAAGGACTCTAACAACTCTCTACCTATCAAATTGTGACTGAGAGTCTCTTTGGTTATCTCTTCGCCCTTTTTACCAAATACTTTGTCAAACAATTTTAATCAAGAGGGAATTGATAGACATGTAACGATCCTGATAATCTCTTTAAAGCCATATTAACCCCTCAAGATAGAATAATTATCCATGTAGAAATTCTCCAGACTGATCTCCATACAGTTCCTTAAAGAATTATTGGAGAGAATTTGATAAAAGATCAAAACATTTTTCCTTTGGTGATAATGTTATTAATTTTGTCTCATAATCTTCTCTTTTGATTAAGTATAGATATTGTTAGGAGAAAAACAATGTTGGTCACTATTGGGACTTAATAGTTATAATAATATTATTGTTAGTTTACTCCAGTTCCAAGTTGCCAAAAGCAGTTAATAAAAATCAATCTGCCTTACTTTCACATTTAAGGACTTTACTTCTCTCCTTGTCATTGTCCAAAATCTTGCGTAATCGATCAGCCATGTTTTCTAATGTTTTATCCTGTATATTATCCAGCAAGTTCACTCCTTCTACCCAAAAGTTGTCGAGGGTCTTTTTTGAAAGGGCTGTGTACAACATTTCCATGTACTCAAGAAATCTCTCTCCTAGCATATCTGCATCCCACTTTAATTTTGGATTGGAGTTGTAGTGTAAGAAAACTGTCTTCAGATGGTAGCTGGATAGTTTAGCAAAGGTCGTCTCAGCGCGGATAAGGATTTTAATGATCCTGAGAAGTTCATGCCTGCATCCGTGATCTTCCTTGTCCATATCCTTTAATCTTCCTTCTCCCTCAGTGAAAACGACTGCCTCCAGAGAAGCTTTGAGTCACATGCTGGGGATATTTTCCCAGTGTATGATTTTGCAACGAAGTATTCAGTAGCACTAAGCTGAAAAGATGGAACCAGATCAGCTGACAATTTTTTTTCTGTTTCCTTGTCTGTGATATCTAGCTGCACTGCCGGACCATGAGCTCGCACTTCAAGCTTTACAGATAATGCAGGATCCTTTTCTTGGAGTTGATTTACAGCCTTTTGAACCAGGCCAAAAAACCAGCTGGCTCGTATCTTCTCAGGCAGAATGTATCCTGCTACATTAGCATACTTCCACAGCTGGGAATCTTGTGATGCTTTGAGAAGCACAAACCCAGGGACACCAGCATCTTCTTGGGTTACTTCCTGTTTTGTTGTCTGTAGGATAACCATGACATCAACTTCATCAGCTGCTTCAGTCTTAAGCTTCTCATACAAGCTTCCTGTGTATTCTTGCTTGCTAATTGGAAGGGATGATTCGCTGCAGATGCATGGCAAGATTTCCTTTTTGATGTAGTTGTCTACTAGACGTTTAGCTTGCTCTGTGTCTTCTTTGGTTATTTTCACATGGTCTGCAGAGTAGCGCCGCAGTTGTTGTTTCAGCAAAACGGTATCACATCCATTCTGTTTTGCTTGAAGCATGATAACAAAGCTACAGAGAGATAAAATAATAGATCATCCTGTTCTCATATTTCGGTGGATAATCCCATTTCATTCAAGGAGGGGGGAGGGGAGGGGAGGAGCGCAGGGCAATGGGGCCAGTAAAAAGAAACGCCGACAAGGACAATTTAGTATGTCTATTTGTTTATTCATTTATTCTATTTTATTTGCCACACAATAATATAAATTACAAAATATAGGGAAAGTAGAAAAAAGAAGTGGTGAGGAGATTATTATTTGGTACTTTATGATTTAATCTTCACTATTTTCTAAAGGAGAAAAGGGATTGAGAGTTGATGACCTGGTTGTCAAGTCAATTAAAAAAACTTAGTTCCTTGAAAAGAAGGCAAGAACTTCTTAGTGTTTGTTCAACAATACGTAGATGGTTGGCCAGGGAATTTCTTGTATTGTAAGAGTGGAGTTGATTGCTTTGGAAGAAATTGTTATTGAACCTTGGAGGTAACAAGGAATTTTTGCAAGAATACATAAATTAACCCAATTGAAGCAAATTAAATTTCTTGTAACAACTGACCAAAAATATACCTCACCGTGAAAATGCACAGAATCACACTTGTTATGTACTTCTTTATGATCATCAGGACTGCTATACACAGTGACTTGATGAAAAGTTAATGTTTGCTACGACCAGTTGCAAAAATGTTGAGACACTCCCAGGAAAAAATGACCTGTCTTGCTTCAAATCGCTCCTGGTCAAAGGTCTGTGAGTTATAATACTGACCTCCCTCCTCCCTCCCATTCAAACTTGTTCCCCCAAGTTTTAAGCATGGTCTTGTATTGCTAGCAACTTTGATAAGGGGTGGAGGGGGGATCACAAACACAAGATCATGGAAAGGCCATTTATGACAAAATACGATACAGTGTCTCAATAATATTACTGGTTGTAGCTGTACTAAGATAAAGCAGAAACTGAGAGAAGCGTGAGAAAAAAACCTGCTCAGACCACGTGACCGGAAACGCATTAGCTGTGCAGAATAATGAGGCATAAGGACAAGGCAACGGCAGACAGTCTTTCTGTAGAGTCCTTCGCTATCATTAAAAACACTGGACAAGGGAATTTTGTTATCGGCTGTTTTCAAACTAGAGCTAGAAATGCATAGTCGCCCCCTCCCCCTCAGACACCCCTTCTCCGATTTTTTCTGAGGGGAGGGGGCAGCTGTACACAGGGTATCTGAAACAGATAATCCATCTTCAAACTGTCCGTCAAAATTGACGGATAAAGTAAGGCGGATTGTTCATTCAAAATTAAAACCCTTTCCATTTCAAATTAAGATGTATTACCTATCTGACGTGAATTATCAAACGGATAACCCATCTCACATGAATAATCCGTCGCTAGTGTGAAAATGGCCATTAATTCATTATAACAGAAATTTTCTGTTATAATGAATGTCCCTCCTTTCCCCTGCCTTGAGTTGGGCGTTCACGTGCCTGCTTTTGCTTTCGCACAAAGATTATTTTTAAATCGTCTATTGACATTTCTATACATAAAAGAATATTAAAAGTGGAATACTTTACAAATAGTATGATCTATCAAATGTCACAAGAATAACTTTATTTTATCCCGAGATGATCCTAAGACCTTTATTTTGCTTTGAAGATACAAAAATACAGGTTTATTACTATTTAACTCTTTAACACAAAAGATATTAATTTTCAACTTTTTGTTAACCGTAACTGAAAAAAATTAACCGATAGCCGTAAAAGAGCCAAAATTCTAACCAATACCCGTAAAAGCCACCACCCCATTGAGACCCTCTTATAAATATAGCAGCAGTTCAGAAATTTGAAAGTAAAATGAGAAAATTTTGTATTATTTGTCCAGTACGAGTAGAAGTGCTTAAAATAACGTACAAAAGGACAGAAAACACTAACCTTTCATTTTCTGTTTTTGCTTTGTTAAATTTGTTTGAATTTCAATAAATGCTTCACAGTCTACAGTTTGACATTTAGCCGATTCCTACAGACCATTTTTGATATATTAAAATTCATACTTGGCTCCGAGGCTTGGGGGAATAAAACAAAAGGAATCATCTTGGGGCTCAGCAATGAATAATACATTTCTTTTGTTTTATTCCCCCAAGCCTCGGAGCCATGAAATTTAATATATTCAATTTCTGCCTCTCCAGTAAGATGGTCGATCAGCCATGCTTTAGAGTGAGATAAATTTTTTAAATGTGTAATCGAAAGTTAAAAATCCAATTTTCTCAAATCTTTATAAACTTTTATATTATAAGGTACATTTTATAGCGGGGCTCCCGCGCGCGCGAAGCGCGCGTGGGACAGAGCCCCATACTCATGGAATATGGTCAACCTCTTTTCGTTTGGTTGTCACGTGATTGACCGAGCGTACGTACGTACATACGTACGTACGCGTCTACAGATTGTACGGGTGGGGTAGGGGAGACTATCAAAAGGAAGGGAGGGGTGTCTCAGGCGTTTCTTGGCAAGTCCACATCTTTAATATAGGACATTCATTAAGGACATTCACAATATGGCCAATTGACAGCTGTCAAAACAGGATAGCCACTGACCAATATCCCATGACCATATCGCGGGCTCATGTGTCAACTCATCGAGATGACGTGATTTATTTGGAAGCTGTCCGTTGACCAGTTAATTGTTTTACTAGATCGCGAACAATGTTCAATCTCATACTTTTACTAGTTAAACTGATAATGCACGCATATTGGACATCAATGTTTTGATCAATTGACAGCTGTCAAAACAGGGTACCCGCTGACCAGCATCACTTGACCGTATCGCGGGCTCAGGTGTCGACCCATCGAGGTCAAGTATTTTTTTGAAGTTATCCGCTGACAAGTTACTAGTTTTCAAGTGATCGCAGGCTCAAGTTCAAGTTTTTTCTAAATTCATATGAAATATGTTGTGTTTATGTGCTACACAATTAAAATTTTGATTGCAAACTGACCTCGGACGCGAAAATTCAGCCAGCTGTTACAGGCAGGGAAGACAGTTGCTTTTGACTTTTCTCACCATGGTCACGCGTTGGTCACGCTCTACGTCCAATTTTCATGCTCTGATTGGTCAAAATTTGACAGGTGAGTTCATGCGGAAAATTTATGCAGCATCTTGAATCTTGTTTACTTTGACAGCTGAAGCTGACAGAGTTTTGTGTCAACTAGTGATGTTTTTAACTGTCTTGTTCCACTGGATGTGCAAAATGAAATTCAGCTGCTATCAGTAGTCCTCTGTTATTCATGGCTAGTTTGTTTATTGGGTTTTTGGTTGAGGAATACGTCGCTTGTCAATGTCGGAAATCCGATTTCGGATGGCATCGTTTTCGTTTTCACCTTGCTTGATGCGTAAGAGGATTGCAAAGTCTGAAGCGATACTGGCTTTTCTTGATACCTTTCAGGAGCTGCATCTCGAATGGTAAGCCAGAGAAATTATTGTATTTGATGTTTGTTTTTTTGGATCTAATTTAATGAAGTCGAGCGGAGTTTATGCGGTCATTTAGTTTATGCACGTTTGTAAGATTTGAGACAATGATCTGACCGAGTATCAGGTTTGATATAAGCTTACAGAACTTTAAAAGGCCTTTAGACAGTTTCTCACCGCAAATAGAAAGAAAACGTTTAAAGAATATTTAGTTATAATTCTGGCCGGAAAAGAAAGCTTTGAGCGATTTTCTTGCCTCGAGTTCGTCTTTGAAAAAAGTACTGTCCTAAAGCAAACACCGGGAAGCCGGCTTAAAACATAAACTTAAGCTTGAAGCTTGAAGACTCAGGATTTTTAGGGATACTTTAATACTTGTCTTCCTGAATGAAAATTGTTGTTTCTGTATATGTTTCACCGAATTATATTTCTTTTATTGATTGTTAGTAGTCTCTCTCGTAATTTTAATCGCTGTGCCGATTGTTTTCAGTCGTTCAGTGAACATCGCTTGCAGGAGTACTCAAAATGCCGCGCGTTAATAAACCATTAAATGAAAAATAAACAGAATAAATTCTTTATAATGTTGGAGCGTAACTCTGTTAATGTTCATTCAAACACTCGCCACAGCTCGCACTACAAAAGTGAGAACCGGATGGCCGTATAGCTGATTTTGGAAATTTTTTTAACAGTTTATGAATATTGAATGAGTGCAATTTGTATTGTGAAATACTGCTTTCTGTCTGAGGTCTGCCGGTATGATAAAAACAGTGCCTCATACTACTGTTTCACCTCATATGTGATGTATAAATGGTATAAAAGGTTGGTTTACACGCACCCAGATTTGTTGACAAGATTTTGCAAAGTAAACTTGTCGAACGCAAA